GTGAAATCCAAACATTCAAAATTATCCAGCTTATAATAATGATAACAATCTCCCTAATTTTTTGTATTCTAAAGTTTTAAATGCATGTTTGTAGCTGCTAACCACCAACAATATGATCTCCCTAAGACTGGAACATCAGAAAAGGAACAAAGAGAATGACAGGCTTAAATATTTTGAGCCTGAAACCCTGACCTGTGAATATCACAGGGATTAAACGAAAACATCATGACCTGTGGATACCACACAAAGGATCGACAAAAGCTACAAGTGGTAGCTGAGAGTGGTGCTAATACCTTTAATTTCGATCATATCTCTCAGTTAATCTAAGAGTCTAAACAAAAGCGAGAAATTGTTAGAAAGGAGACAGCAGGCCCAAAATGGAGTCACTTGTGCCAAGCTCCACATCAGCAAACCAAGACTTAATATGTAACCTAAGTGCAGTTCCAAACTCCCTTGGAATGTAAGCTTTGATGAGGCACACTGGAATTACTTCGTCAACACTAGTGAGGTAATCTGCTTCATAGGCCCCTTCCATTCCCCTAAAAAGGGTGACCTTACTCGAAGCAACGCATTCTTTAGAAATCATTCCCTTTTTTCAACCCCCTCTCTGCCTTTAAAAACTTTTTCTGCAACTGGCGCCATGTCTGAGTGGTTAAGTTCCCATGCTCTGCTTCAGTGGCCCAGGGTTTCACCGGTTCAGACCCTCTGTGTGGACCTAGCACCGCTCATCAGGTCATGTTGAGGCAGTGTTCCACACATTGGAACTAGAAGGACATGCAATTAGAATATATAACTATGTACTGGGGTGGGGGGGAGAAGAGGAGGAAGAAAGAAAGAAGATTGGCAATAGACCTTAGCTCAGGGATAATCTTTAAAAAAAAAAAAAAAAGAAAGAAAACTTGTCCTTTTCCATAGCCCTTTCTATTTGCTAGGGGAGATGTTCCCAGATTTATGAATATTGAATAAAGTCAATTTGACCATTAAATTTACTCAGTTGATGTTTTGCTATTTATCAAGCTGAAGAGTCAAAGGCTTTCTAAGGCTCAGACTTCAGTTTGGAAGACAGCTCACTAGCAAGCTAATTACTGCTGTCTAAAGTGAATACTAATTGTGTCAGGGTGGCCCTGAGTTAATACATCAAGAAGGGCTTCTAGGTGGAGTCTGACAACCTTTGCCAGAGATGCTAAATGACAAAATCATGACTCATAAAGCCCTGTGCTATCTCCCATAGGGCAGGAATCCAGGAAGTGCTGGGCCTCCTTTTTGGTGATGAGGAGCCAAAGACACACTAGTTTTTCCTTCACTGCTGGAAGGATTGAGGATTGTAAATCTGCCCATAGACTGTCAGTAAACTTTCATTGGAAAATTGGGCTCTGAATTTTGGTAAGGTTTTCTCAGCCACTTCTCTTAACTGAGAGATGCTAGTAAGTTCTAACACAGGCTATTAAGACTGAATCCTCCAACCTGCCAACAGAGAGACTATCACTTACACAATGAAAAGTTTGTATATCAGAAGTTAGTGGCACTCAATCTTAATCCTTGCCCAACCTCTGGGGGAAAATGAAAGGGTAATTTGTCCCACCAACACTTATCTACCTGCAACTCTCCCTGATTGGGATAAGCCCCTCTGTCACTCACTTATGGGATGGGGAATCACAAACAAATAACAGAACAATTCCTATTGCATTCTGAGATTAAAAAACAAAAACAAGAGGATATTGAATTTTTTTAAAGGATCCAGTCATATGCCCTCAAAATGTATATATTGAAATTTATTACCCAAGATAGGCTACTAGGAAGTGAAGTCTGGGTGATGATTAGGTCATGAAGACAGAGCCCTCGCAAATGGAATTTGTCCCTTTAAAAGAGGCCTGAGAAAGCGCCTTTGCTTCCTTCCACCCTGTGAAGACACAGTAAGAAGTATGCAATGCATAGGAGTGCCCTCACCTGACCATACTGGCACCCTGATCCCAGACTTCCAGCCTCCAGAACTGGGAGAACCACTACAATCAATAAGAAAAAGACAACACAATAGAAAAAAATAGACAAAATAAACTCACACATAGCTCAAAAAGAGGTTGCTCAATGGCCAATATATAAGTGAAAATACATTCAACTTCCATAATAATGAAGAAAATGCAACTGAATTCACTGCTTGGTACCATTAAACACCAACCAGAAGCCTAAAAATAAATGAAAAAATAATAAAAGTCTTAGTAAGGATGTGAACAAACCAAGAATCTCCTACACTGTTGGTGGATGTGCAAATTGGTACAAATTTCTCCCAAAGCTCTTTGGCACTATCTCCTAAACCTAAAGAGATGCGACCTATCACTCAGTAATTCCACGATTATACAGCCAATAGAAATCGGTATGAGTGTCATCAAAATGTGTCCTGAATATACAAACCAGCACTCTTCCTAATAGTATCAACCTGAAAACAACCCATAAGACTATTAACAGTGGAATGATTAAAGCAATTGCTTTGTATTCACACAATTTAATCCTATATAGCAATGTGAATGAATGATCACTAGCAACATACAGCAATAAATTCACAAACAACATAAAGTATGACAAAAGCCAAAAAAAATGACTTAAGGTTCTATTATTTTTTTCACGTAAAATACAAAAGAGGTTAATGTGACCTGTGCTGTTAGAGGTCAGAGCTGTGGTTCCTCTGAAGAGTACTGACAGGGAGGGAGCATAATGGGCTTCTAGGGGTCTGTTTGACAATATTCTCTTGATGATCTAGGTACTGAGTACAGAAATGTGTTCACTCTGTGAACTGTCATTGAGCTATGCACTTACGACCTATGCATGTGTCTTTAAATGTTTTAAATATATATCACCAATCAGAAAGGTAGGGATATGGTGAATAGATTAGTGTTGTAATGTCCCTATATTGCAAAGGCGGAGTTTAAGAATATTAAATAGGGGCCAGCCAGGTGGCACAGTGGTTAGGTTCGCAGGTTCCACTTCGGCAGCCGAGGGTTCGCGGGTTCAGATCCCAGATGCAGACATGGCATCGCTTGGCAAGCCATGCTGTGGCAGGCGTCCCACATATAAAGTAGAGGAAGATGGGCATGGATGTTAGCTCAGGGCCAGTCTTCCTCAGCAAAAAGAGGAGGATTGGCAGCAGATGTTAGCTCAGGGCTAATCTTCCTCAAAAAAAAAAAAAAAAAAGAGTATCAAATAAAGTGACACTGCGACTAGCTTTTAAATTTATTCTGGAGTTTCTAGTCAAAAGTTGACACATAATGAGTATACAACTTTAAAAGAACAGAGGTGACTCATAATGAGGAATTATAATGTAGACATATTTAAAAATTAATACAATAGAAGTTAACATAGATAAAATAAAATAAACTCTATTGACACTGAATTGTATCAATTACCATATCAGAATTAAATAGACCAATTACATGTTTTAAAGTCTAACATTTTTTACTATATTCACTGTATTTTTTAAGAGCTATGGCCAAATAATAAAATTAAAGTAGGAAAGTAAAATATTCATTCTAAGGAATTTTTTATTAAGTAATTTTATTGGGATTGTAATGGTTTATAACATTGTGTGATTTGGGGTGTACAATATTGTTTATCAATTCATGAACACACTTCATCGTGCTCACCCCCAGTAGTCTAATTTTCATCCATCAGCATAAAAATTAAACTAGCATAGCAATATAACATCAAATAACATACAGTTTAAGATTTGTCATTATTGTAATTAGAGCTGTTTTAAATTTTTCTTAATGTAAAAATGTCCAATATATTGAATGATAACAAAGATAGTTGTCTTTATATGTGTATGAATATATACAGATATACACAAACTTCACACACATATACACATACACACACAGACGTATATATATATATATATATATAATCACAATTGTAGGTCCGTGTGTGTCTACGCATGTGATTTTTTCTAATATTTGTTTTGTGCTATAATTTGTGCTAAATATTTGAGCATCTCCTGTGGACTAAAAATATGGATTTCTCTTTGTGATGCAAGAACCAATATATATCCTTTAGGTCAAAACGCTTTTGTTATTTAAGTTAGTGAATTCTCAGAACATTGCATCAGGTTCAAAATGCAAATGCAAAGAAAATTATTTAAAAATCTCTCCTAAAATTAAGGAAATACTCACTTTCCTCCTTGAAAATCAAGGAGTCACAAACTCCACATAAACCAAATGGATTCATATCCTTCCCTTTCAAATGGTTCTCCCTACAGTGCTCCAATTTAATGGCCATCTATTTAGTCATTTTAGGGACAGGAGTGTCCACCTCCAAACCTCTATGTTGCCAACTTGCCCAAATGATCTTCACAGAAGAGAAAATGCTTCCTTCTACAGATGCAAATTCCATGCAATTCATTTCCTTTAAATTTGACCCATTCCTCTGATGTTGTTTAAAAATCACCTAAAATGTAATTTTATTCTCTCCTTTGCCACTCTAGAGATCAGTCCTGCCATTTATACCTGAAAATACTATGTTTAGATGTGCTCATCTCCCTCCATAAGATCACATTTCAAATAAATGACTACTTCCTCCCTAAAGATGTAATGTACAAAACTCAGAGCTGGCTCCAAAAGCTTTACTCATTGACTGAATTTGCCCTCCAGCGCCATTGTCTTCAGTTTCAGGTAGGACCTGCAACATGCTGTTCTACTTTCATGTACCTTTTCTAAAAATTTTATGCCTAGTTTATGTCTGGGAAATTTACTGGAATAGATTTAAGTTACACAGTCAAAGACTTCTTCAGAATATCCAGATTATTTCAGGACCTGGCGTTCATTGCTGAATGAATTCTCAAGTCCTCCACCACAAGCATTAGTAGCACATCAATCATATGAGTTTATACATGACAATTATAAAATATTACTCTTATAAGCTATTGCTTATTTTGAAGAAGATACTCAGCATGTTCTGTTAACGTTCTCTAGTCAGCCAGACATAATTGTATTCAGGACTCTGAGGAGGATGAGTTACCAAATGAATACTGCACAAATACATACAAGACTAGGGGATTTTGTATTTTTTATCCAGGCAAAGCACAGCCTGGATACACTGGGTTCACGGCTCATGAGCAGAAAGGGACTGAGACTTGGGAAACACTGAGTGCTTACTAAAGTGGCATTCAAGAGGAACCAGTTAGGATTACTAAAAACAGCCATAACTGCGTGACAAGTGGAGGAAAGGGTGTTAAAAAAGACAAAGGTGCTCACCAGGAGAAGGATGGTTTTGGTAGCTCTGGACTCATGGCAGGATCTGGAAGAGATATTGGTCCTATGAATGTGTTGGACCCTCTGCTTGTGCCTGTAAAGGATGAAAACTGTGGAGCCACTGGCCAAGCACATGAGCCCCAAACAGAAAACATCAGGGAATGATATCAATGCCACATATAAGTCATCTCTGGTTTTGTCGTGACGAACAGCAAAACAGTATCCAAAACTTTTTCTGTTTGTGATGTTTTTGTGGCTCCCATTGCCAGTCAGAAACATAGGATATATGACATTTATCAGCATTTGCAGGATCCAGCACAGGGAAATTGAAGAGACAATGCACTTGCGAGTTTTCACTTTAAGCTCTGCCCACCTGGAGTTGCTGGGGCTGATCATGATGGCCTGGGCTACACTCAAGAGGCAGGTGGTGCCAATGGACACACCCCTGCCCACTCTACGGACATAGGGAAAAAACCCGCAAACGAAATCATTGAAGACATGGTACCATCCCAAACGTGACATCCCATTAGGCATTCCACTAGAGAACAGGACCAATAAGTTGGCTACAATCAGGTTCTTGACAATAAAATCCATGGACCTTAGCCTACACCCAGTGAAATAAAGGAAGAGATAATGGCCAAGAAGAAAAAGATTCCCCAGGATTCCAAATATAGTCTGAAACAAGAAGAGCATTCCTACTGCCAAATCCCTGGCAGCCATCCTGTCAGTTCTCAATGACTGATATTTATCTTCTGAGCTAGAGGATCCTGCAGGGGAATAGAAGGTGTGGACCACATATGTGATGTCAACTCTAATCCAATATTTTCCACTTACCAACATTTCCTACTTTGAAATAATTACTCAAGGATTTTTCTGTTCTTTAGAAGCTTCCAAGAATTGAAAGTATAACCATTAAAGAACATTTGCAATGTATGAATTACTGTCATGAAGGCCACAGATACAGTAATTTCTTTATTCCTCACAAATTCATGAGGGAGGCACTATTACATTCCTTATAAAGATGAGGACAACATAGGCACAGAGAGGTTAAGTGTTTCCTCTAGATTCACACAGTGGTTGGGAGCACTGTGGCGATTTTAACTGGGAAATAAAAATGGTATATTTAACCCATAATATACTAAAATAATAGTTTGTTCTTCAAATAAACTAGATCTAAATTCAGTTTTATTTTTGCACCTTGTCATTTCAATTTAGACTGGTGATAATTTTACTTAAAACTTGGTAATGATGAGTTTCCACTTACTTATAAAGAGTTATAGACAAATATAAACTTTGACTAAAGCTTTAGAGATCTTATTAAAATATAGATGCCCTAATTGAACTATAAAACTTCAGGGTCCTCTCCCAGTACAAGCTGAGTTTAATGAATGCAAGAATCCCTCAACATTAGGATGGCAAAGAAAGATTCATTTGCTTTTAACTCAGGAACAAAAGTACAATGCTCTGAGTCACAGGAAGTATGAGACAGAAATACTGATGCCTGATAAAAAGTGTATGGTAGAAACACATTATTACTAATTTCAGATCATATATGTGCCATTTATTAATATTTAAGTTAAATGAAATTATAAACAGTAATGCAAGATTTGTGGAAAATATTAAAATACGAGATATACAAGCAATAGTTCAATGCTAAGGCAAAAAAACTTCTGTATTGTATAAATGACATACTTTTGGGTGTTATAATATTTAAAAGCATCAGAAACATCAAAAGATAGATTTCAGCCTAAAAATGTTTTCTGAACTTATTGTTGTATTTTTCTTAAATGCTGCTTCCCTCACTCTAAGTGGGAAAAGTCTCTCTATAATCAAGAGAGACACTATCATGCAATCTAGTAAACACTTCATACACCCAGAATTAGAGAAAACACTTCTACTCCAGCAACTGCTATCAGACACACAGTTTCTGCACAGGATCATATGATTCCTGTAGGTTCAATCTACGTTTTATTACAAAAATGGAGGTACCCTAGGTGCACCTCCAGAAACCTGAAAACTATGTCTATGCAAAGCAAGCTGAACAGCAGATTGACTCCAGAGCTACAGTCCTTAAGAACATAAAAATCAAATTTTACATTACTTGGATTAAGAACAAAATAATAATTTTCAGTGATTATTACATGACATCAGGAGCCATCCTGGATTGGTAGAAAATCTAGGAACACGACTCTCTTTATATGTCAGCTCATCCTCAAGATTTATTTCATCTTCATACATGGCTTTGGTGCTGAACCAGGCTTATACACAGAAGATTCCCTTTGCAAAATATGTTCACTTACCCAGACTCCTGATGCAACTCTTTCTCTTACAGATTCTAACTCTCAGATGAATATATTTAAAATGCACCCACTTTTTCCTGCTGCCTGGATGATGGGCTTAGCACGGAGGTCAATGCAGTCAGTACATGTGTGACAGAGGTAGCTAGACCCAGAGATATGAGTTTGCGCTTCTGTGACCTCACCTCCTGTCATAACTCCAATTATCATTTCAGCTGTAGCAGCATTGGCAGCAACAGACTTGGGAGCTGAGAATATTTTTCCAAAACTTTTTTCCCAGGTGCAAATTACCAAGAACAACTGCAAGTTTCTAGCCAGCATCCCTTAAGAGACTGTTGGAGTGTTTGTGGGAGGCATGGACTTACTTTTCCATGAACTCTGGAGGCAGCCAGTGTCTCACATGAGTAGGGCAGGAAATACTTAGGCCTGACATATGATCGACTGGTAGTGGGTATGTGTGTCTCAGTGGATATTCTACTTCCCTCAGAAGTACTACCTAAAAGTGAGTTCGTTCCTAATTGCACGCAGCTGAGCTGCATCATCAATTAAGTTATGAGCAAAGAAATGGAATGAGTCAGAATATCTGATAAGGGTTTAAAAAAATAAACAAGTGACAAGAAGAACATGATGCCAATAATTTACGTTAGATATCATTGCACTCATTTGTACAACTCAATATTTATGAATATGTAAACTGTTAGGAATCTCTACCAATATTGACCCTCACTAGTGACAGGAAGTAGAAACACAGTATTATCCATAAAAGAATGAGAGAAGATTTTAAACCAGTCCTTCAGAAAGAACACACCAGAATCAGATGGTTTAACAGGAAGATTCCACCATGCTAGTAAGTATCAGATAAGCCAATGCTACTTCCTTAAATCAAGACCATCAAATGGTCAACACAGTCCTCTATCCTTTTTTTTCACAAAATTTTCAGTAAGGAACTATGATTGTTTTGTTTAATTTAAGAAACATATTTTTGGTGGGTCAGAAACAATTATAAATTACAAGTTGAATTTAATTCTTTGGATTTTCCTACACACAAATCAACTCTTTGATGCAAGTTCATTGTGCTATCATGCCCACTTGTCAAGTCAGTTGGCAAAGCCAAAATGTTGGACAACCCATCTTACACAAACACACAATCTCATTTACACACAGATGCAAAAACACACATGCATGCACATTTTCTCACACATTCAAACTTACAGTCACACATATTCACATGCTTACACACATACGCAGTCACTCACATGCTCTCACAATTTTAATTGCACACACAAACAATAATGCATGTATTGAACACACAAAAATTTACACTCACATATGTAATTATAAATACATACACAATAAACACGATTACACTCGTAAAAGAACAGTCAGCAAGCATGTGTGTATCTCAATTACATGATCTTATTCAGAAGAATAGCTGTATTTCCAGACTTCTGGATGCCTGAAAAGTGGGGCCCTGCTACCCTCTATAGTGTTTATAACCCTGCAACAATGACAAGGGCCATATTTATTACAACGCACAGCACTTAAAATGTGCTGTGAGCATTGTCACCTTACGTCAAGACACATGCTGGGAAACTTGGGCTGTTTGGGGGAGTGAAAGTGTGTGAGTATGTGATAGAGTGGAGTAAGAATAGGCCACAGGACGAAGGAGACATAAGGATAATATTGGGGTGCAGAGAGCCTGAGGGCTTGGAGTCATAGTGCAGGGGAAGAGAATGAACAGAAAGAGAAAAAGCAATGGTTTTTAATATTGTTGAAGTATTACAGTGCAATGATGGGGATAAAAGTGCAAGTGGGCAAAGTATGCAAGGAAGTGAAGGTAGGGGGATATTCATATCTGAGGGAGTAAAGAGCGGATAGGATCACAGGAACAAAAGTTCTGTGAGGAAATGCCAGAGGTGGATGCATTTAAACTACATATTTTGGAGAGAAGGTGAATTTAGATGGGGTAGGCAGATCTTGGTAGATGATAACAGTCCAATTTGGGCAGAATGTGGGAAAAGGAGATGGCACTAGGGGAAACTGTGGGCATGGGCATGAAGGCCAAATGGGCAGAGGACAATGAGGCAGTTGGAAAGGACAGTGGGAATATGTGAACTAAAGAGCCTAGGAGAAAGTGTCCGGAATTATAGGGTTAGATGTAATGAGTGCAGGGTGTGGACTGGGTTCCTGGGGGAACTGATGATGCCTATGACTTCAGGGCTGGGATGAATGAAAGTGCCGGGGCATAGAGGTCACAGAGCATAGGATAAGATATTGGAATTGGGTGTAAATAGAAGGGCAAGAGGAAGGATGTCATGTATGACAGACTTTGCAGAGATGACAAAGTCTGAGGAGAGTTAGACTGAGGTCCCTAGAACACTGGTCATAGAGGGTTGGAGGGGACAAAGGTCACAAGGTGAAGGTGGAGAGTGCAATAGTGAGTCAAAAGTGTTCAAAGGGAGTCAGAGAGCATGTGGAGTTTTATTGGATGTCTAAAGGTCACAGGGGGACAGATGAAGACGTACACGGGGGCACAGAGGTAGAGTGAGATGTTGGATGAGTCTAGGGGTGATGGAGGTGGCAGAGGGGAGAACGGAGGCCTTAACTGATTCCCTCAATTATCCATTCCCTCACTTACAGTCAAAACAGAGCAGTCATGTATCGTTTCTTTTGTTATTGAAACATATTTGACATATAACTTTATGTAAATTCGAGGTGTACATCATGTAGATTTGACACATTTACATATTGTAATATGAGTACCGTTGTAGCAATAGCACTTCTATCATATCACCTAGTTATCATTTCTTTATGTGTGTGGAATAACTGAGATGTAGACTCCAGAATTTGGATAACTACAATAAAACACTGCAGTCCAGAGTTACATCAGTGACACGGTGGAGTGAGCTCACCTGGGACTCTCTCCCTTCCAAACTACAACCAAAGGAACAACTGAATTCCAACCAAAAAGTCCTAATAACACAGAGATCATCAGAGACCCACAGCAGCCAAATGACGGAGAGTGGAGAGGCAGGAGCCGACCTCAGAGGAGCTGGAACGGGGTAAGAGAGAGCTTCACTCCCTCCCCTAGAGACTGGGATCACTGTGCGGGTAAGGGAAAGAGCAAGGGAGGGGCTTCACATCCGTGGGATCATCCAGGACTACCACTGCCCATGCAGCAGAAACCCTCTAACGGGGGAAAGCTTTCACGTGGGGGACCCCATCAAGCCAGGGCCCCGGGAAACCAGAGAGGGAGAGCTGATCAGAATCCAGGTCTGCATCCGAGAGAAAGTGCCCCTCCTCCCCCAACCCAAACTGTGCCCCGCCATCCTGGCTGAAGGTGGAGGGCTCAAAATGCATGGCTCTCAACCCACATCTAGTGGCGACAGGCTGTAACTGCAACCGAATAATAGCATCATGTGC